AGACCTATACTATTTTTTTATTTTTGATTTTTTTTATCTGGATTACTGAGATGCATCAGGACTTTGTATTACATTGTTAAAGCAAAAACAGACAGACCACAGTCCAGCATCATGAAGACACAAACAGGTCACACACTGCTTCAATGTTACACTGTAGAATAAACACAGGTCTGTAAAGTTAAATTACATGAACAAAAATTACTGTTAAAAATACGTTTCACTGATGAGAAAACAAGTAAAAGTCATAAAACTGATCACGGAAATTGGGAAAAGTAAAAATACTTTTACACACTCTTTAAAAAATAAACTGTTGAATTTACTGAACCAAACTGGTTCCACTAAGTCAGGTTGAGTAAAATGTTCAGTTTACTGAACCAGGCTGAGTGGAAACAGCTGACATGACTTTGTTCAGTAAATTCAACTCTTCATTTTTYAGAGCAGAAACATCTTTCATGATGAGTTTGAACAGATTTAATTTGTAACGAGTAACTAGGTGTTACGTCTTAAAGTAAAGACGTAAAAGTATCATTTTTAGCTTTAAATGTAATGAAATAAAAGTAAAAGTAGGTATTTAAAACAATAATTGGTAAAATTACAAATCCTCAAAAAAACGACTTAAGTAAATGTACTTAGTTACTATAAACCTGTGATGATAAAGAAACTGTGATTTTTAAAAACACAGCATCTCATCAGGACTCCACCGTGTGTTCCTCCTGCTGCAGCGCGCTCCTGTCTCCTGCAGGTGGCGGTAAAAACACTTCCTGCCTTTGTTCGCGCGCCGCGAAAATCCATCAAAGAAGAAGAACAAAAGCCCGCACGTTCTTACTGCGTAGAGCATCTTGTTTCCCGACACACGGAGGAATCTCAACATGGCAGATGTTTCAAACCCCGAAGAAGAGATGAAACAAGAGGAGACCGAAGCGTCCGTTCCGTCCGAAACCGACGAGACTTCTCAGGAAACACCGAACGGCGTAAAAACGTGAGCAGACAGACCGGCTCAATGCTAACTAGCTTAGTTAAGATGGAAGCCTATTGTTAGCCAAGAAGCTAATTRCCGTTGTGTTAGTGTTGTGTCGTTAGTGTTGTCAAATACTCAGTGGATGTYGGGGTTTATGTTTTATGATGTTTAAGAAAAATTCATGATATATTTTAAATTTCGAGTTATTTTTAAAATAACCATAACCGTGCACTGAGCGAGTTATGCTAACTGCTGCTAATGCTAGCAAGAGCTCGTAAATATTAATGACTTCTTATTAAATCCCAAAAGCTAAACGTGTTTTAATACTTGTGTTAAAGTTGGTTAAATACATTTCACAGCCTGAACCTTTGATATCGACACTAGCAAGAATATTTTTTATAAATCTGAGCCCAATCAGGCTGCGTGTTTCATTGTGTTCAGGTAAGAAAGGTGAAGCTAGCTGCTGCTAGCTGCTGYTAGCCTCAGTCAAGCTAATGATCTGGATTATAGATTTATACAATGTTAGTGTTTACAGGACGTTACAGGCAGGTGGGATYATTATTACACTGAAACAGTGGTTTTAATTTCTGTTGAACACAAACTGAACAGCAGAGATTAAAGATTTTATTCTCATTTTATCTAATTTCCCTTTAGGATCAATGAAGTATTTGAATTGAATTAATTTATAATGCATTCATTATGTGTGTATTAGATGTAATTCTGCAGGGTTTAAAGTAGAAAGTAGGGATGTGGATTAATTTTTTATCCTACACCAATATTAAGTCTTATTTATAGTATTTATTC